TTAGAGAATTAGCCTTCCTCCCACCCACAAAAAAGTAAAGATCATCAGAGCTGGGAAACATCATCTCAATGTTGAAAGTCAAACAAGATAACCTTATAAATGCCAATGAATGTCCTTAAAAGGGATGCCATGCTCTATTCCCACCAGTCTAATCACACATGTGGTGGAAAGGGATGAGGGACTATAGAAAATCAGGTAGGTCTGAGGGTTCTGAAGGCTAAGGGGGTCTGTGAGTCACTAGCTACATAGCGTCTGCTCGATGCCACACCTGGTCAAGTGCTCTTCTAGCATGAAAACTACAAATGCCTTCATGGCACCTCTAGATCAGGGAAGCTTCAGACAGCCTCCCTTAGATCGTCATGGCCTCAAGGTGGTGTAAAAGAGTTGCTGGACACTCCTCATGCCCTCGGAAGTGTGAGAAAGCTATATGATGGACAGAGCCAGCTGTTACAAATGCCTTCATGGCACCTCTAGATCAGGGGAGCTTCAGACAGCCTCCCTTAGATCGTCATGGCCTCAAGGTGGTGTAAAAGATCTGCTGGACACTCCTCATGCCCTCGGAAGTGTGAGAAAGCTATATGATGGACAGAGCCAGCTGGCCTCAAATGACCTTGTGTGGGATGAAGAGTATAAGATAGCAGATAGATCCTGGGATGGACCACACACCTGTAAACCAGGTGGGAACAAAGAGGTCCTTACATACAGCAGAAAGGAAGGAGAATGACGGACAAGGCCCAGGAGAGACAGCAGTGCCAGACTGACATATGATCACCCAGAACCAAATATCTCCTTACCCTCTATGCCCTAGCGCACATCAGATTCCTTGAAGTTAAATGTTCAGGAAGAGGTGGGAGGCAGAAAACTGAGATTCACTAGAATTAAGTTTCCACTGCCAATGGATGGAGCAGAACAGAAATGAAATTCAGTTACAGAAACAAAAAAATGAGTTATGTTATTCCCTAAATTTGTGTGGCCCCAAATATCATATCGACTACATACAGATATCAGTAATGTATCTCATCATCTTAAACATAAATGGCACTTTGTAAATCCCAAATCATTTCCAGTTATATTCTTCGATTTTTCAGACAATTTATGAGTTCAAGAATCATTGCTCCTGTTTGAAAGACTAAGAAACTGGGGCTGAGAGCAACATAAATCCCAAAGCTGGACGATGACCAAATCAAGGCTTAACCCTCGTTCACTCAGACCAGGCTTCTTTGCATGGTTCTTTACTGCCGCCTTGTCTCAGCTCCCAGTTGGGAAAGCACCCAAAGTGGCCCTGGCCCAAACAATGGTATTGAAGACATGGTACAGGTCCTTCGTCCTGTCACCTGGTGGTGAGACCTTGGAAAAAATCACTCTGCTTCCTGAGCCTTGTATCCACATCTAGGAGGGAATCTATTGTCCAGATTTGCTGTGAGAAAGAGTTATTAGAAGTAGACATGCTTTGGGGCCGGCCCGGTGGCGCACTGCTATAGTGCGCTGCTTGGGAAGCGCGGCGGCGCTCCCGCCGAGGGTTCGGATCCCACATACAGACCGGTTCCCACTCACTGGCTGAGCGAGGCGCGGGAGCAACACCGAGGGTTGCGATCCCGTTGCCGGTCCCGGTCCGGTACGGGGGCGACACTGAGGGTTGCGATCCGTTGCCGGACACGGAAAAAGACAAAAAGGAAAAAAAAATAAAATAAAAAGAAGTAGACATGCTTTGAGAACAATAAGGTGTTCTAAAAATATAAGGTATTATTATTTTTATACCAGATTGAATTTCTTAGAAGATAGGCCATGAGAAAACTTGCTCTTCGCAGGTGTGGTAGAGTCTACAGAGAAATGAAAGGGTTTTAAATCTCAGCATAAAAGTGGGCATTGCCTTGTTTATTCTGAAGTCACAGAGAGGAGCTTGCCTTATGTTCACTGAACCCTGGAGTTGCATTTTTAACATTACATCTTTAGTCTAGAGAGGAAGGTCTTTGACAATCTCATCAGACTGTTGGATTTTCTTATAACCTCCAGGGAATGAATATTCTTTCTCTCTCTTTATTTTTATTTTTTCAGTTTATATTAATGATAGGGAAAGAGAGACAACTTCAGCTTAGACAAACACACAGACATACACACAATTTCTGAATTCTGAGGCATCATTGTTCTGGGACATCTATCCTCAAGGATAAGGAGCTTAATTAGTTCAGGAAAGAGAACTGATGGAAAAGAGGAAAGAGGCAGACAACTTAATCCTTTCAGAAAAGTCTGCCTCATGTTTTGGAGAGAGCACAGATTTGTGATGTCCTTTTGAGGTGCTTGTCCACTGACTGGATTTAAGACTTGGGCAAATCCTCCTCTCCTCAGTGGGTCTTAGCTCTCTAATATGCAAAATGAAGAGCTGAGTTGCAATACTCTGAAGTAGATGGCGGCTGATGAACACTGACCTAGCATCCACGACTCCTTTACCTGTTGCCAGCCAGCACCCTACTTTTCCTTGAGAGTCTATGCCTTCTTCCATCCCAGGGTCACATGCTTCAGGTGTAGCTGCTCCCTAGCCCAAGCTCCACATGTGACTGGTTCTAGGATGAGCCCAGTCAATCCCCCTGACCACAGTGAGAGATTCCAAATTGGCCCAATAAGATGGAATCCTGTAACTATAGTTGGAGGGACTAGGAAAGAGGTGTTCTTGTCCTGCAGGATTCACTGAGTAGGGAGGGTACAGATGACCAGAGAATGGCACTGTGCTAAGGAAAGCAGAGATAAGGTAACAAAAGGAATCCCAATGACATTGCTTGAACCCTTCAATCCAGTTGTCTCTAGACTTCCATTTGAGATAATACATTTCCTCTCTTTCTTTAAACTAGTTTGAGATGAGTTTCTATCATTTGTAATCCTATAAAATTCTAATCAATAAAATTTCCAATTGCCCATCCACCTCTAAAGATGTGATGATCTTTGATCTAAAATATAATTTCATTTCATCTTCTCAGGTTTGAAAAGCTTACTCTTTGTATTGGTCTCCTGGCCTTTGTTTATTTCTCAGCGGACATGTAGGTACATTAAGGACTCACTGTGTATTCCACTTCCCTTGGGTCTCTCTCAGAAAGCCTGGTTTAGAGCAGGGATTCACATCCCTAGCCCATCCCTCCCCTCCTTTCTTCCTAATTTACTGAGATGGGTACTGTTGGAGTGCTGACCTGAATCAACAAATTCCTTGGGTTCTCCCTCAGTTTATTGGGAGAAATAAACTTGAAAACCAGTCCATGCTATAAAGTGTCACAGGTGATATAATAAATGTGGATACAGAAAACAATCATGATCCCTAGAAGAGCACCCTCACTCCTCTTGGATGAGAAAAGGGACATCTCGGGGGACAGGAAAGGCTTCATAAAGGAGACAAATCAGGGAAGATGTTCACTTGTTTGCTACATAGGCTGAGAGAACATTCACTCTAGGCAGAAAGAATTGCATGAGCAGAGGCCCTGAGGCATTAAACAAGCAAGAATTTTCAGAGAATGACATCTACACAGCTCCATTTGGCTCTAGTGTAGAACGAAGGAAAGTGGTAGGAGATGTGGCTGGAGAGGTTGGAATGGGGCCAAAAGAAGAAAGGCATGAAATGCCAGGCTGAGTTTAGCCTATGGGACAATGTTTCCCAAGTATACTGCCAAGAGACCCCAACACACACACACACACACACACACAGGCACGCACGCACACGCACACGCACACACACACGCACACACGCACGCACACACTCAGTTGTTAAAAATTCAGGTTCCTGGGACCTAATCCCTTCTACAGAATCGAAATGTCTGGGGTGGAGGGCCGGCCCGGTGGCGCACTGCTATAGTGCGCTGCTTGGGAAGCGTGGCGGCGCTCCCGCCGAGGGTTCGGATCCCACATACAGACTGGTTCCCGCTCACTGGCTGAGCGAGGCGCGGGAGCAACACCGAGGGTTGCGATCCCGTTGCTGGTCCCGGTCCGGTACGGGGGCGGCACTGAGGGTTGTGATCCGTTGCCGGACACGGAAAAAAAAAAAAAGGAAAAAAAAAAAAAAAAAGAAATGTCTGGGGTGGAGGGCCGGCCCGGTGGCGCACTGCTATAGTGCGCTGCTTGGGAAGCGTGGCGGCGCTCCCGCCGAGGGTTCGGATCCCACATACAGACTGGTTCCCGCTCACTGGCTGAGCGAGGCGCGGGAGCAACACCGAGGGTTGCGATCCCGTTGCTGGTCCCGGTCCGGTACGGGGGCGGCACTGAGGGTTGTGATCCGTTGCCGGACACGGAAAAAGACAAAAAGGAAAAAAAAAAAAAAAAGAAATGTCTGGGGTGGAACCCTGGGACCTGCAATTTAAACAACAATCTTAGCTCATTCCTATCAAACAAATCCTCAATTTTTGGACCCCCTTCTGTAGGCAGCAGGGATCCTCACATACATATATCCTTCTGTTTCCTTATTTCACACTAGATACTAAAACTCCATGCAAATAAGGCTGCCTCCCTCCCTGACATCTTTGCCTTAGTGGCCCCCACTGTTTTCCTAATGTAAGTTGACCCACCTTTTGAAGCCACTTCCTAAATCAGTTTCCCAAGGAAGCCTTATACAAATGTTAGGTCTCAGCTGAAACTTTCTCTTCTAGACCACATCAAAGCACCTACTCTCTGTACTATTTGCATCTCAGCGACATGCCCCCCCATTGTATTCATAGAGGTAAGGCACACCCTATCTCACTTCCTAGTGGACTATAAGCTTGCGGAGGCCAAGAGCTTTCAAGGACCTATTGTATGGCGGGCACTTAAGTTATAAAATCTCATTTCTTTCTTCCAACAACTCCAAGAGGTATGTTTAATTATGCCACTTTACAGATGAGGAAATCAAGTCAGCCTGGTGTGCTGAAGGCCACAGAGGCAGGAGTAATGGGTAGTGTGAGCCTCCTTGACCAGCTTCCCTTCACAGGTCCAGCAGATGGCCTTAAAGCCACAGCCAGTGCCATGTTCCTGGGCCAATGAGAACTTACCACACATCCTGAGGAGTCCACCTGGCGGTCAGACACGCACTTGAAGTTGCGAGTGCAGCCCCCATTATTCCGAGAGCAGTCGCGAACTGGCCCAAAGGAAGACAGCAGGTCATTGATGGTTTCAAAGTACGTGGACAGCATCGCTTCTTCCCTTGGAGAGAAAGAGGATGGTTAAACCCTAAAGACATCTGCATTGTTAGATTTAAAAATAATAATAATAATGTGAATTCATTACTTTTGAAACATTATTTATTCTATTTATATTCAGGAAAATAGTACAAAAAAGTATTTTTTTTTTTTTTATTCAGGAAAATAGTACAAAAAAGTATTTTTTTTTTTTTTATTCAGGAAAATAGTACAAAAAAGTATTTTTTTTTTTTTTATTCAGGAAAATAGTACAAAAAAGTATTTTTTTTTTTTTTATTCAGGAAAATAGTACAAAAAAGTATTTTTTTTTTTTTTATTCAGGAAAATAGTACAAAAAAGTATTTTTTTTTTTTTTATTCAGGAAAATAGTACAAAAAAGTATTTTTTTTTTTTTTATTCAGGAAAATAGTACAAAAAAGTATTTTTTTTTTTTTTATTCAGGAAAATAGTACAAAAAAGTATTTTTTTTTTTTTTATTCAGGAAAATAGTACAAAAAAGTATTTTTTTTTTTTTTATTCAGGAAAATAGTACAAAAAAGTATTTTTTTTTTTTTTATTCAGGAAAATAGTACAAAAAAGTATTTTTTTTTTTTTTATTCAGGAAAATAGTACAAAAAAGTATTTTTTTTTTTTTTATTCAGGAAAATAGTACAAAAAAGTATTTTTTTTTTTTTTATTCAGGAAAATAGTACAAAAAAGTATTTTTTTTTTTTTTATTCAGGAAAATAGTACAAAAAAGTATTTTTTTTTTTTTTATTCAGGAAAATAGTACAAAAAAGTATTTTTTTTTTTTTTATTCAGGAAAATAGTACAAAAAAGTATTTTTTTTTTTTTTATTCAGGAAAATAGTACAAAAAAGTATTTTTTTTTTTTTTATTCAGGAAAATAGTACAAATAAGTATTTTTAAATATTAAAAAGAAACAACAGGTATGGCATTACATGGCATGGTGCTTAGGTCTAGTTGTGACAGATAGAAACGGACATAGAATTTTGTACCATTTATTTCATGAATCCTCATAATTTTGGAAGATAGATGTCAGATTTCCATCTTACCAGTAAGTGAGCTGTGCCTTAAAATGGCAAAGTGTCTTGCTAAAGGCCAGCCAGCTTGTAATGTCACAGAACTGAAGTTTGTAACAAGTTTCATCTGAGTCCAAACAGAAAGCTCTTCCCACTACACAACTCTGAACTTGCGTCGTATCTGTTTCTGAAGATTCTAGAGCTACTTATAGCAACTCTGCAATTGGGCACATTCCTGTTATTCCAAATTTATGGATATGCCACTGAAACTATAAAAGATTGTGGGACTTAGCCCAAATCCCACAGCCTATAAACAGCAAAGCCAAGACACAAACACAGGAGTTTGACCCTAGGACCCTAGAACATTATTTTTCAGACTACTGCATACAAGTGACACCATCAAGACTGTCAGCTACAGCTGTTGGAAAAATCATAGGATTTCAGGGAAACACCTAATTTCTCCTAAATGAGGTTTCCAAAAGATAAGACCAGACTAGTTACATCATTCATGAATCTGCTCAAATTCTATAAGATAGATTTCTGTAAGATGGAATTCTATATGATAGGGGATAAAGACGAAAGTTTCTGGATGCTGTTTTCTGGAGAAAGAATTGCAAATAAGAGATATGCTGGCACTGAGGTACATATGATTCCCACAGTTACAGGAGATATTAAAAGGGCACCACAGGCAGTAAGAAGAGGAGATATATTCTTCCCTGATATACGCCTCATGGCACCCGGAGCTGTAGAAGAAAAGAGATGCTGTGTATGCACACGTAGCAGGAAGAGGCCAATGTGCACTGCCAGTGATGTCTCTGGACCATCCTTCTCACTTTCTCCCATTCTTTCCTTCCTTAGGCTTGGAGCTCCAAATCTGGTCTTGCTGTGGATTGAATGTCCCCCCACCCAAACTCATTGAAGCTTAAATCATGTCCCCCAAAGTTCCAGGTACCAGAAACTTGGCCCCTACTGTGACTGTTGGGAGGGTGGGAAATCCTACTATGGAAATTGAAAGGTGGGACCTTGGAGAGGTGATTGGATTGTAGGACCATGCCCTAGTGAATGGATTAATAATGGTGGTCAGGAGCGTGGTTCTGAGGGCTTTAAAAGGAGATTGAATGAGTAGCTATCTCTCTCTGCTCCACCACTTTCTGACATGTGATACCCCTGCATTGCTGTAAAGCCACCAACAAAGAAGACCCTCACCAGATGTGTTTCCTGGACTTCCCAGCCTCCAAAACTGTAAGCAGTAAATTTTGGTTTTTTTTACAAATAATCCAGTTCCATGTATTTTGTTATAAGCAACAGAAACAGACTAACACAGGTCTCTTAACTCATTTCCTGCCTCCAGCTGTATCCTCTTATGTCCCATCTTTCATGCTGACTGCCAGTAAACTTGATAAATCCCAGCTCTAATTAGAAACTCCTCTGATCAATAGCTCCCAGTCCTTAGAGAAGGAAATCTAAATTTGTTTCCTTGGCATTCAAAGCTCTTCATAATCTGGTCCTGGGTACCTGTCCACTACATTGCCCCGGCCTCATGTTCTCGATCTACTAGCCACAGGCCTCTTCTCTTTCCCTGAACACACATTCTTAGGTTGGGTTCTCTGAACAGAGACTCTGAATTGGAGAGCTGCATACAGGAGGTTTATTGAAGAGTCTTGTTGGGAGATACACCTGTAGAAAGTGAGCATGACAGGATTGGTAAAGAGAGAGGCTGACGTGCAATGTGGATCTGAAGCCTCAGTTTATCCTTCAACTGAGGAGCTCTGGAGCTGGGATTACCCTTTATGGATGTCCTGCATTGAGGCAAGGGACTCGGGCTTTAGCACTCCTACCTCAGCCAGTCATTGGCCGAGGACTGCCATCTGGAAGGAGGTATCCATGGGTGAGGCAGTTCCCTGGGGCTGAAAGCAATGCCCAGTAAGGGACGCAGCTGTGGGCCACAGCCGGGGGAGGGGTGGGTCAGCCCTGAAGAGGGGATCTGGGAGCAGTATGTACCTTTATCTGTCTGAATCCTTTATCATGCTCTTTCTTCTTTCTGGGATGCTCATCTCTAAATTCTCCACCTGATGAAATCTTAAGAATCCTTGAAAACTACTCATAGTCATTCATTCATACATTGCACATGCTTATTGAGTGCTTACTATATAGCAGGCACTATTCTAGATACTGGGGATACAGCAGTGACATCAGACGTGGTCCTTACCCCCACAGAGCTTATTGTTACCTACTTTGTGAAACCTTCTCTATCCCCCCCCCTAAAATTAATCTATATTCCCTTTGAGCACATTGTTTAAACCTGTTATCTTATTGATCTTAATTTTCAGCTCCATAGTCTCCCGGAGAGGCTGTAAGCTTTTCAAGGGGGACCCCACCCCATCCCCAATTCCGGTTCCCATTCCAAATCGTTCAAGTTCAGGGCTGCAGTATAGACAGAAAGCAAAGAATGAGGGGAGCTGTCAGGATTATCCCCCACTTCCCAACTTTGTAGAGAGAGAGGTGACAGGTGCATGGGGGGAGGATGAATAGTTCCTGAAATGAAGCTCTTGAGAGACTTGCCACTTTTGAATCATGGGAAGAGTTGAGGATCCTGAAGACATTAAGGCTATTAAAATATTTATACCCTTAGAGGAAGAAGAAGAAATGGAAAGCAAGAGAAGATAAAGACACGGGAGACGAGCTGAGAGAGTGAGGGAGTAAGAAAAGAAATGAATGTGCAGAGAGACTGCAAAAGAAAGAAGAGAAACAGGGAGGCAGAAGCATATACCATCATCCAGAAAAAGATGACCAGATAGACAGATGGAAAGACAGAGGCACAGACACACAGAGACATGGAGGAGATGAAAGCAACTGCAGGTGCAGAGAGTGTGTGAAAAGACAGAAAAAGGAAGAGACAGACTAGGAAAAAGAAAGACACAGGAGAGAAACAGGAGTAAGAAACAGAAATTAAAAGAAAAGGGCCGGCCCGGTGGCGCACTGCTACAGTGCGCCGCTTGGGAGTGCGGCGACCCTCCCGCCGAGGGTTCGGATCCCACATACAGACCGGTTCCCGCTCACTGGCTGAGCAAGGTGCGGGTCAAGGGAAAAACATTGGGGACAGAGTTAGCTGGACTGATGGACACTGCCCGGGGCATCAGGAGACCTGGTGAGAGTCCCAGCTTTGCCAGAAATCACTGTCATCACCAACATCATCTGCTTTATTTCTGATTTCCTGAGCACCTGCTATGTGCCAAGAACTGTGCTAAGTTCCTTCCCTGTACTGTGTCCTTTGATTTTCATGACAACCCTGAGAGCTACACACTTTTGCTCCCACTGTGCAGCCAGGGAAGCCAGGTCCTAGGGGTGTCACATCACCTGGTGTTCACACCAGCATGCAGCAGCAAGGCCAGGCTGTGACTGCAGATCTTCCTGACTTGCCCCATGCCAAAGTTAAGCTTCAACAACTCGGTCTGAGTCTTGGGCAAGTCAGATCTCTCCTAATAGTACAGCCAGTAGGAACTGCGTCAAATTTCTTTGTGTCTTAGAGGTGGAAGAATGGGAACGGTAGAGCCTGTACACTCTTTGTGTACCTCCTAGCACCTGATTCCTGACCTGTGCTTGTGGTCTCTAACAGAGAGCCTCAGTCCATGTTGGAATAAAAGGGAAAAACATGGTATAATAGTTTATAAGAGCTGCCATAACACGTACCACGAACTGGATAACTTAAAGCAACAGAAATTTATTCTCTCACAGTTCTGGAGTTTAGAAGTCCANGCGATCCGTTGCCGGTCACAAAAAAAGACAAAAAGGAAAAAAAAAAAAAGAAAAGAAAAGAGAACATCACGGGGAGGAGAGGAGGCAGGGAGGGGACACAGACACGGTACCCAGAGTGACAGTGGAGAGAAAGACACGGAGAGGAAGAGAACGCTCGGAGACGTGGAGAGCAGACACGGAAAACACAAAGAAAGGGAAGAGAAAAACAAGCAAAAATGTTGCC